ATTGGCTAACCATCAAAGACCAGTAGAACGACATTGATACCATGTAATACCACCATATGTCACTAGTTACTGATTGATGAGGAAAGTCGGTCCTGAAAAAAAAATAGAAGCAAACAATCAACAATAGTAGGCTTGAATATCCAATCAGTAACACATAAAACGATATAGCTAGCAATATTGTATCCTCGAACATATGCACACAATTCATTATCCTTCGCCGTGGAAGAGAAAGACCCTGCTGTTATAGCTGATTTGTAAATATATTATGAAAAACTCTAGACCATGTCATGAGATGGTTACTATTGTTATCAATATAGTCAATAAGAGAATAAATATTTAGAAACGAAATCTCGAGACATCTCTCCCAACGTACTGTTGTAAATTATCCCCTGAAAAAAAATAACGGCGGCCGCCGCTGGCCTTCGTCAATTGATTGTGACTTGGTCAAGGTCGCCATTCGTTATAGATGTCGCATCGCTTCAAGAAACTTCCAGAGACTTCCCTATCGGCTTCTAGAGACTTCCATTACGATATATAAACACTACCGACAAGCAGATCGGGGGAAGTCTAGTTTAAAGTGCGGTAAGAAGTGATCTAATGAGTATTAGTCTGAAATTTGTGTTGTATTGTCCGTGTAGCAATGAAATCAAGTGGAGTTCAATTGTACAGGGCAGTCAATTATTGTCAAACCCACAAGGAAAATTTAACAGTACCTATTCAGTAGGTTAGGTTAGGTTTAGGTTGAAAAGCTGAAGGCAGAACTTGCAGAAAAAAATCCTGTTTCACCACGTCTCACGTAATAAGCATTTTATTACTTTTTACTATTAAGAAACGGAGTATAGTGGATAACAAATATCAAATGGATCACTTCCAGGACAATTTATTAAAAAATAAGCATATATTAAATTTTGATGCATCCTCTTCCCTTTATAACACTCTGAAACTCACTGTGCCAACTAAAAACATTACCAGAAACTCCATATTTTACAACGGTGGAAAAATGTACAATCATTTGCCTATGGACATAAGATCTACCAATATAAATAACATCCAATTCAGGAAATAAGTCAAACAATTTCTATCTGATAGACCCTATTATACTTTGGATGAATAGCTTTCAACTGACTTATTCATATCTTTTAATCTTTATTTATTAAGGAGCTCCTAAGTTGTTACTATTTATGCCTACTCTTTTATAAATTTGACTTCTACTCTTTTATATATACATATCTTTTATATCCTGCATTTTAACTTAGTTTGTACCCATGCACCATTGGCTGTCCTTGTTCATCTTTCACTGCCTGAACCACTATGCATGCTGTTTTTGGCGAGTGCATTGGCTTGGGTTGTGGGGGTTGAGCAAACTGGCCATCGGATGCCTGCTTCCATGTAGCCCCGCTGGATACGGAAATGACAGAATCGCTTGTGGTTCTGTTATTCCCCAACTGCATGGCATCCCTACGATAGCTTAATCCTAAGGTGTGTGTATCCGTGCCGAGAGGATGAATGACACTGAGCCTATCAGCTGTCTCTACGGAATCTTCGAGATACCGAGCTCCCTCTCGTCGTAGCATCGCCTGGTCACGGTAATGCGAAGCTCTGCCGTGATTGACCGTCTTTCCCTAGCTACTCGTGGGACTTTTATGGTCAGAGTAAACTTAAAAATTATTTCTGGCGCTGAGTCTACAGAGGAGATAGATGTCGATACGACTTCAACTGACTTACGACTCCAACTGACCTCCCTGTAAATTTATATCAGGAGCGAGAGCTTCTCGACTCTCCAACTCCTGATCCAATAACTGAACCTAAAAAAAAGGTTTGGTGGTGCAGCCAGGAAACGATTGAGTCGTCTCCTCAAGAGCGGGGTACCTTATGAAACCGCGTTGCACTAAATTCTTGAGCGGCGTACGCAGAATCTGTCCCAGGTGGAGGAACAAACCCCCCATGAGATGAACAGGTTAGCAAACGTTTGCTAATCTAACACATGGAAAGGTTGTCGCGGGTAACAAGGTGGGAATCTTACACCTTGACTATCCGACTAGCTCATTAACGATGAAACAGCAGAGCATATACTTTGTGCATGCCCCGCTGGGGACCGAGTCAGGTTTTTAGAGTTCGGCAGAGCCGTATTCTCACCATCTGACCTGAAAGACCACTCACCATACAAACTAATCGGCTTCTTTAAGAAGCTGGGTTTATTTGGTCGAGTGTGAGCCACAATAAACCCTTGCGGGCTGCGGTGGACGGTCCTAACCTAACCCATGCACCATTTTTATTTTAATTTCATTTGGTATGTATTGCATTTTTTCAAGTATTTACTACCCAAGCTTTGCCTACAAGATTATGTCTTATGATAATAAGGCATATTATTATTATTATTATTATTGAACAGCTAATGAAAAAATTCAATATTTTTCCGGTCCCTGCGACCTTGCTTCTCGACACCCCAATTTTGTATCTGACACAAGTATCTGAACAAAGTACAGATATTCTTCGATTATTTCAACTTTACCGATGCGTCATCAATTTATGATCATAGAAATCACACACCGTCTACGTAACATCTCTTTCTATCAACCGCTATGAACAGATGACAATTCGTTAACAATTGTCTTCTAATCACTGACTTATGTTATAGCGATGATCAATTAATATTCATAACAGTGGAAAGAGATAACCAGACAGCCGACAGTGTTTTACAATTTACCTACATTTGCCTACATTGACAGTTGACAGTATCATTGTTTTATTTTATTGGGTATTGTTTTCGTCAGGTTTACAGTGTCTCTGCATCCATGCACGGATGATTTAATGGAAACTCGTTTGTTAATATTAATGTCTGCAAATGTTTTGAAAACATTGCAATGCCACCTTTTTCGTTAACTGTCAGATCTATATAAAAACTAACTTTTGAGGTTAATTTATTGTCATTACCTACACGTTATAATTTTTATCGGGATATTAGCCACTTCGTCTTAAATTTGATCATAATTTCGCGGTTTATTTCATATGCACATCAACGATGACGTATCGGTAAAGTTAAAATAATCGAAGTTGTAAGCCAGTCATTGTCAATTATTTCCGGCACATTCGTTATCATTTCCCCTTTCCGATTCCGAGTTGTTGAAAAACTCGTACAGCCGTCTCGAAAGATNTCGTACAGCCGTAGCGCAAATATGAATGAAGATAATGAATTCCTTACGATAATACTCTATCTCCGAAATGCATGGCTGCTTCGGATATTTCTTGACGATAAGTGTTTGGTTTCAGTTCGCTTGAAATTCACAAAGAATACGGTAATTTATTTTTATCTCGCTTATCGCTCATTACAAAAGATTGTTTACTCAATACGCTGGCAAGCAACAAGAAATCTCAAGTCTGCAGTAATTAACAAAAAAGATTGTTCAATAAGGAATGCATACAGTGTGAATAAAAAAAAACGTATTCAAATATGTCGTCACTTTCCAAAAAGTTGTAGAGCACCACGTCTATTTTATGGTTTAGGTAGCATATTCGATATATATCTGTTATTTTTCGAAAAAATTGACAGAGATATCGATGTTTCGCCTCGATCAAATGTAGTTTTGAATGTGATTGCAGTAGATTAACATTCTATAATTATTTTCAGCCAATACTGGTTGGATAATTTCGGAAAATCAAAGAAAACTAGATTATACATTGCAATTAATTTTTTTTTCTACGGATGCTATATAATGTGTCACTTCTCTCTTGAATTCTTTCTTTTCTTCAGCAGCTGCTGGNGAAGTGAAACAAATTCGGATTTTTCAGGACTGAAATTTTTTCAGGAAAAAAGTGTAATCGTAGTAAGTTGGTAGTCCTGATTACGAATCTGAAGGAATTTTGAGCCTATTTTGCCCCCTAATATGTTTTACCGCAAAAATGGGATGTTCCATCGCGAGTGGCGGACAGTGTATATCACTTTGGCCAACCCCTTTCAGGTGGTAGGTGCATTTTGAGCATTTCCATCAGTCCTGGGAGTTTCATCGTTCTAACTCGAATATTACGGAAGATACGGGGGTGTTTCCATAAGAAGTGAGACAAGATACGGGGGTGTTTCCGTGAGAAGTGAGTCACACTATATACTGGCCACTGTTTCCGAAGGTTATCTGCGACTATTTTAGTTAATGCAGGGGCAGATCTTTCAACTTTAAAATACCATGGGGGTTGGAAATCCAGCAATGTTGCTGAATCTTATATCGACAACTCCATAGCTAACAAAATGTCGGTGTTGGTGGTATGACCAATCAATCGACAACTGCGGTAGCAGAAATTTGGGAAGCTAACCTTGAAATTCCATCGGAAAACGAATCCACATGCATGTTTCTAGAGACGATATGAAATCAAGAAAGGTTAATGCAGTCAAGCTGCTGGAAAATTATTCCATGAAAATCAAAAGATAAATAGATAAGTACTGTTCAAATTGACATCAATGTGGGAATGAGGCATTTTCTTATCTAACAAAATCGAACATGTTCAAGTCCCCACAGTCACCCTGTAAATACAGGTCATCCTTTACGGAGTATTGCCTCGGATTCGGTGGAATAACAAACAAAGACACGATGAAATCACCGAATGTACGAAAAAAAGCGGAGATGACTATCAGAATGCACGATGCGATAGAACGATAAAAAAACCAGAGTTTATTTCGTGAAATCTCAAGATAAGGCGTTATCTCCATACAAATAAAACTGAAATTAATGTCATTACGATTAGAACATCCAACATTGTTATAGTTATCTCAGTCGTTAGTTCCGTTCGAATAGCACAACAATGCTGAAAAGGGCAAAATCGTTTCTGGGAAAGACGAAAACGAAAGAAGAATTCGATCTGAGCGAATCGTCGCATTTGAGAAGACACACGACCATCACTACCGAGGTTATACAGGAACAACAAGTGTACAGGGCAATGGAGAGGCGACGATGTCGGTCGAAGATTGAGGAAAACTTCAAAAACTCAGACAGGCAAGAATGGTGCGACCCAGCCACGGATAATCCAGTTGCTGATACGAAAAACTCGAAGGAAACAAACAGAAAATCTGTTGACGGAAGAACTCACAATGTAGAGACTAGTT